AAGAAGCCTCAGGCTGGCAGAGGCTGGCAGAGGCTGGCCTGAGGCCACTACAGGCGCCATCTCACTTTTCTCACTTTGCGGGGTCTCTGTGGATTGAATTAGGACTGGGTCTGGTTCTCCAGGACTTGAACCTTATAGGGGACCCCGGAGTTCATCCAGGTGAATCCCTGATGTTACAAGTGGGCACACTGAGGCCCAAAGAGGGAGAAGTGACTTGCCAAGTTGCAAAGAGTGAGCTTCCCTCCAGGTTCTGGATCCTGTTGGCATTAACTTGTGTATCGCCAGGCTCCGTGCACCCCTGTCAGTTACTGCCGGTCCCCTCTGACACCCCTGACCTGTCACTGTACCTGAGGCTGCTCCCCCATGTCCCCGGGGGGGGGGGGGTCGCGGGCTCCATGCCTCCCAGCCTAGCCCCCTGGCCAGGAGGGATTTTTGGGGGGGGGGGTTTGGATGGCCTGGACTCCCCCGAGTGACCTGGGAGATTCCACCCGGGATGTGGAGTGGGGGCTGCTGGGCAGGAGAGCCACAGCCCGCTCACCTGTCTGTGCCCTACAGCTCCGCCATCGACAAGCGGTCAGGGGAGAAGGTGGCCATCAAGAAGCTGAGCCGGCCCTTCCAGTCGGAGATCTTTGCCAAGCGGGCCTACCGAGAGCTGCGCCTGCTGAAGCACATGCAGCATGAGAATGTAGGGCTGGGCCTGGGGGCTGCTCCGGAGAGGGGGAGGGGGAGCCAGGGAGGGGTCCTGACCAGGTCCCTCCCTGTGTGTGTGTGGGGGGGGGGGAGGGCGCCGGCCTGAGGGGTGCAGGGAGCTCAGGACAGGGCCAGGAGAAGGGGACTCTCCTCCCTGCCCCTCCCACTCTTGTTCCTCACCTCATTAAAGCGAGGCGCCAGGACCTGCCCTGCCTACTTCCCAGGAAGGGTGCAAAGGGTAGTTTTGGCAGTGGAGCAAAAGGGAGCTTTGCAAGGTGCACAAACATACTGTTGCATGGGCACAGAGGCGCTTTGTCGTTCGTTCTGAGGTCTCAGAGCTGTGGTGCCCCCCATCCCGGTTAATGTATTTGCACACGTGGCCCTGATAATAACAACAATAACCACAGACAGTTGAGCACCTACTGTGTGCCAAGTGCTCTTCTCGGAGCTTTGCAGAAGCTGATTTGTTAATCCTCACCGTATTACAAGAGTTAAGTACTATTACTCCCAGGTACAGAAGAGGAAACTGAGGCACAGAAAGACTAAGAGGTCATATGGTTAGTCAGTGGCAGAGCTGGGACTTGAACCTACGCTCTGGGGCCTCAGTGCAGAATTATGAGAGCATCTTGTCTGACAGAAGCAGCTGGGAAAGCTAGTCACCCAGCTCTGGGCCTAGCAACTGGGCTTTGGAACAGGATACCTAGGTTGGAGGGTGAACATTTAAAATAATGATTTCAAAACATTGGGCACGTTTTAAGCCCCGTTGCTCTTCAGCCAGCCCCTCCCCATGGCCCCCAGCCACAGGTGATCTTGCTCCTGGATTCCTCTTCTGCCCCTTTTTACTGCTTCTGAGAAGGCCGGGAGCCTGCCTCCTGCTGGAGACGGTGTATTAGGAAAGGGCTGGTGGTCATAGGCATGGCTGGGGCCCCGGGGCTGGGGGGAGAGAGGGCTGTGGTGGCTGCCCAGCCTCACTGACAACCTTCTCCCCAGGTCATCGGACTCCTGGATGTCTTCACCCCAGCCTCCTCCCTGCGCGGCTTCCATGACTTGTGAGTTGGGCTGCACTGGGTTCCGGGGCATCTGCAGGCCTTACTTGCCCCTTGGGAGCAAGCTGGGGGAGAGTCCAGATTTCTCTCTTCTGGGTAGGGGGGCTTCCTGTCCTGCTAGTCCCTTTGGGCCGTCCACTAATGCGTGATTCTGTCTGGATTCTGTCTGGATCCAGCCAAGGGTGGAGAGAAAGGCAGGCAGGAAGAGGTGGGAGGGGCTTAGCGGGGTTCTTGACTGACACAGAGCTGTCTGCTTGTCGGCTTCGCTTACTACCCGCTTTAATACAACCAAGACCTCCTTGCCAGTCCTCACAGGATCTGCACTGGCTTACCTCGCCATTCTGTGGGGTCCCAGGTGTGGGTCTGGGCATGGAGCGAGGAGCGGGAAGGCTTGGCTGCCTCTGGCTGACGGGGTGTTTGACAGTCACATAGAACCAGAAAATTTAGACCAGTGCCTGGTCTAAAACGTAGGAATCTTTAGGAAGATGGAGTCTTTCTTTTTTTCCCAATCTTTCTTTCTTTTTTTTAAGTTTACTTATTTATTTTTGAGAGAGAGAGAGCAAAAGCAGGAGGAGGGGCAGAGAGAGGAGAGAGAGAGAATCCCAAGCAGGCTTCATGCTGTCCTTGTAGAGCCCCACGCGGGGCTCAAACTCACGAACTGTGGGATCATGACCTGAGCCGAAATCAAGAGTCATATAGATGCTCAACCGACTGGGCCACCCAGGCTCTCTGAACTGACCCTATTTCAAATGCAGCTGAAGGTCTTTTTGTTAGGATGCTTTTGTTTTAAATTTAATGCGGTGATTCCGAATGGAGTTTTTTTCCTATAAAGCCAGCTGCTGGGCTTAACGTGGGGAATTTAAAGTGGACCAGCCCACCAGGAAGGGTGGGGGTGTAGTCTCTAAATGAATACTCACAGTAGTGTGGTCGGTGCTCTATGTATGGTCAAGTGCTGGGACTGTATGCTGCCTCAGGGGGCTTCACAGAGGAAGCTTGAACTCAACCCCAAAGGGTGAGTAGATGTTTGCCTGCAGTAAAGGTGCCAAAAGCATTCCGGGCAGAAGGAACTGCATGGACAAAGGCCATGGTGCATGAAAGAGACTGGACCGTTGGGGCGATGTTGATAAGTTCACTGTGGCTAGTGAAGGCCAGTGGCTGGTTTGGTCAAGGGAAGAGTCCACACTTGATCCCACAGGCAGCCTCAAGTCCAGGGAGGATTTGAACATTGGGGTGATGTGGTCAGATAAGATTTTGGGGTGCACTGTGGCGGGAGAGAGAGCCTGGAGAGTAGTGTCCCAGACCCAGACCTTGATCTAAATAAGGCAGAGGTGATGGGATGCCAAAGAGCAGACCTGAGACCTGTCAAAAGGCCCTATCTGTTGGGACGCAGTGGCTGGGAGAGGGGGGTGTAGGTCAAGATGCCAGGCTCCTGCTTGAAATACAAAGTGGAGGAAGAACAGACGTTGGGAGAAAGAACGAACTCCATTTTGGACACTACTTTTGAGGAGCCTATGAACGTTCCAGTGTTTAATCAGCAGTTGCAAACACATCTGGAGCCCAGGAAGGTCTGGGCTAGGGTAGAACATGGTATAATACTGTTGATTAAGAGATCAACAGAGAATCTTGAGGAGGTGTCAGACTGCAAGAGGTCCAATAGGAAGAAAGGGAGCCACAGGTGTGTGTGTGGGGAGGGGGGCGGTCATTGGTGATCTTGATCTGAGCCGTTTCGGAGGGGCTGAAGCAGACACCAGATTGTTAAGGGATTGGAAGTTAAGGCAGAGGGTCAAGAGGTGTGGACCACTCTTTCTAGAAGTTTGGCTGGGGAGGGAAGGAGGGAGAAAGGGTAGTTATTTGAAGAACCAAGTCAAGGGAAGGTGGTTCTAGCATGGTGAGACTTCAAGTTTGTCACCAGAGAAGAAAGAACCAGGGTCCATGTAGAGGTGAAAGACAACACTGGGGAGGGGACTGTGCATGAAGCAGGGTCCCCCATGGGGGAGGGCGGATGATCAGGTAAAAGAAAGTTTCAGAAAATCACAGGCTCATAGAGATGGCCTTCATCACATCCTTTTTTTTTTTTTTTTT